TTGCATTCCTACACCTAAAGGCTGAAAAACTCTGGAATTTTTTTTTCTATGGCTCATCCTCATTTAATCTAATGGCAAACTCATATATCTGAGGGGGGCCGGGGGGGGGGTGTTGGTATTGGGATTCGGGAGGAGAGAGAGGGTGGGGTGGTTATAGGAGGTTCCCATGACACCCACATCTTTTCATACTTCTTTTTAAAAGTTCTATAGGCCCTATACGCTTTGATTCGGTCAATAAGAAATAAACCACCTCGTAGATAAAGTGCTGATGAACAAATAAAGGTTGGGGTGGTTGTTTTTCTTTCTTTTAAAACCCATATCTCTATCTCTATCTATTTAATAATACATTTATTTGTAGATCTAGTTGTAGAAAGAACGCCGTATTATTGCAATTTAGTAATTTAGATATAGTACGCCACGGCACCCATGTAAAAAACAAATCAACAAGAACCAAGCCTCGCCTATCGCGTATGAGAGAGAGAGAGAGAAAACATGCCTAGTCCATTGCTTTAGCATGAACTCCTTCACACAACTTGCCACAAAAAACATGGCAGACGCCGCTGTCAAATGTGGCCATCGCGCAGCAAGGCGAGAGAGGGGCGTACGGTATCTAGTACTATTGTGTACATCTATGGCTTACACCCTGCACACAGCATACGGCACCCACTTAGTCCAGTGGCTGCTTGATCATCTCTTTCCCCTCACATGTCCCTGGCAGCGCGACCTATTTCGAATGCTTGTCAAACTCCTGATTTGCATTACTGTTGAAAAAGTTATCATTTTATGGCTTTGGCAAACAATAATATTTTTAGAAATTGAAATTGGAATTAAATTTCAAAGTTACCTGAGGAAAATCAAATGACTCCAAAGGAACTGTGCCAACTTGGCCTGCCAGCAAAATATGTGGCATCCCCAGGTATCAGCCCAACGATATAACTAGCGCGCCCCCATAAGTCTTTGATATTGTTAGGAATCACACCCAAATCTACAGCATATGTCCAAGGTAATGCAAGGACTGAGAGTACAAAATTTGTTGGGTAAAAAAAGCGTCTGTTTACAGAGTTCTCTACGCATATATTATAGCCTAGACTCTGATCCTAGTTTTCTTCAAATTTGAAGTTACTTAAAGTTCAGAAGGAACTGTAGGCCTACCTGTAATTAATTGCTCCATGTGTATTGTATTAGCTGTGCATGGCAAATGTGCAAAACAGATCTAAAAGGATAAGACTGGCCACAGTTTGTCTCTTGTCTCTACCAGTCTACCACTAGTCAAAATGACAATCCGGGGCTAACCTGTTATACTGCCAGCCCCTTTGTACTGCCAACTTTATGCTCATCCCAAGGAAGGCAGTATAACTAGGTTCAACTGGACCTTACAAGAACACCCCCATTAGGATTCAAACCCGGTTCAACTGCACCACAGTCCGGCATAGATACCACTGAGCTTCAGGCGTTCCCTATAAAATGAGTGCTCTTACCAAAACACATAATTCAAGGCGCTAGACCCACCAATATATTGAACGGATGGCTTATGAAGAAAACATAGCTTTTCCAAA